TTTTATACACTTTCTGAACATATGACAACAGCTTCCGCCCCATCTCGTCAGTAACTGACGTGAGGGGGGTCAAAATCGGACGTAGAGGGAACCTTGCAAAACGTCAATATGTGACGAGTTGGGAGTGAGAATGGGTTGGCTAGTTCTAGCTATTTTTGGCTATTGTGTGCTAGCTCTAGCTAACACTTGGATTAGTTTAGCTCATCATTCTAATCAAACTGTATGCTAGTTATAGCTAATGTCAGCTACTGTAGGCTAGCTGTAGCTAATGTCAGCCAATGTATGCTAGCTGTAGCTAACATTTGGAATAGTTTGCTCATCAATCTAGCCTGACCCTTTCCTTCCTACGCAGTAGCTACTGAATGCTAGCTGAAGCTAATGTCAGCTACTGTACGCTAGCTGTAGCTAAATGTCAGCTACTGGACGCTAGCTGTAGCTAAATGTCAGCTACTAGACGCTAGCTGTAGCTAATGTCAGCCACTGTAGCTAATGTCAGCTACTGTATGCTAGCTGTAGCTAATGTCAGCTACTGTATGCTAGCTGTAGCTAATGTCAGCTACTGTATGCTAGCTGTAGCTAAATGTCAGCTACTGGACGCTAGCTGTAGCTAATGTCAGCCACTGTAGCTAATGTCAGCTACTGTATGCTAGCTGTAGCTAATGTCAGCTACTGTACGCTAGCTGTAGCCAATGTCAGCCACTGTATGCTAGCTGTCAGCTACTGTAGCTAAATGTCAGCTGCTGCATGCTAGCTGTAGCTAATGTCAGCTACTGTACGCTAGCTGTAGCTAAATGTCAGCTACTATACGCTAGCTGTAGCTAAATGTCAGCTACTGTAGGCTAGCTGTCAGCTACTGCAGCTAAATGTCAGCTACTGTATGCTAGCTGTAGCTAAATGTCAGCTACTGTAGGCTAGCTGTAGCTGTCAGCTACTGCAGCTAAATGTCAGCTACTGTATGCTAGCTGTAGCTAATGTCAGCTACTGTACGCTAGCTGTAGCTAATGTCAGCTACTGTAGCTAAATGTCAGCTACTGTATGGTAGCTATAGCTAACATTTGGAATAGTTAGCTCGTTGATCTAGCCTGGCCCTTACCTTCCTACGCAGTTCCGCTCAATGTTTGGCTTCGCTGCCTCGTATGAAGCAAAGTGAAGGGCAAGGGTCTGGTTTTTACCAGGCTATCATCAGTCTGGTCAGAGTTAAGTTTGTACGCTAACTGTAGCTAAAGCTCATGTTGTGCTAAGTAAAGCAGTATATTGTTCATAATTTTTAATCCTCTTAATCTAAAATGTGCATTTCTTTCAGTTTTGAGTTTCCTGACATTTCTAATAAATACTTGTAAATTTGCCAGTTTGTCTTTTATTCATCCATTTATATCATGCAATCATCTCCACACATTTTCCAATAAATTCACCTGCATACATTTAAATTTTACTGATTAATTTGAAGATAAAAATGTCAGATCACTCTTAAAATCCTTTATTTAAGACAGCATATATCAGTTTTCACAGCTGTAGAGAAAATACATTTACAAAAGTCCTAAAAAAACTGAAGGACAAAAATAAAAAAAGATTATTTTTTTCACATCTCCAGATTCAAGTAATACTAAGGACGGTCTCAGGTGACCACACAGGATTTTACTCCGGGATGCGTTCGCTGTTGAAAACATGACGACTTCTGAAATGTGTTTTTATTTCAGTGTCACGACAATGAACAAACATCTGTAAATATTGTGCCTTTTCATGAACGTGACATCGAGCAGTGAAGGTTAAGGCGGTGACTGGACAAACGAGACGAGACCAGGTTCATCAAGGCAGGTTTTTAAAGAAAGAAAAACACTTTCATTTTCAGAAAGTAAAGCTTTAATATTAAAGGTTAATTTCCTCCAGATTAAAGTAATTCTTCACCAGCTGATTCCTTTCTATTGTATAGCTTTAGAATAAGATGCTGAAATAAAAACATTATAGTAACAGTAGTCTTTACTAGGTTTTAAACTGGTCATTTGTTGAATCTTGTAAAAGAAAAAAAAAGTGACAATTTAAATTGTCTGGAGTTTTGATTAAAAATAAAAAAAAAAACATTTTTTTAATAAACCCAAGCAATAAAATGTTAGATTAATACACATGCAGGTGTTTATTTTAATTTTAAACCTGCAAATTATAAAAAGTAAAGACGATAAAATCAAACAAAAAGCAATTTTCAATTTCATATTTAAAATGAAAAAGTCAAACGCCTCATCTTTTTGTTTCCCCTCACACTGTATGAAAAAGCTCATTTTATAGGATAACAATTTCCAAAAGGCATAAATTTGTGCTACAGCTCCACAACAAAAATCAATTTATATGTGATGTGGATGAAAGCGAACATTTGAACTTTGTTCTTTTTTTAAATATAAAATCATGACCGGTAACAGATTCTTCTGAACGAACTCCGCAAATCGGTTGGATCCAAAAATATGACGGAGTATTAGGGCCAGACTAAGATTTTTTTTTTAAATTACAAGAATAAAGTTGAAATATTCGAGAAAAATGTTGTACGGAAATAAAGTCAAAATATTAGAAGAAAAACTTTGTACAAGAATAAAGTTGAAATATTCGAGAAAAATGTTGTACGGAAATAAAGTCAAAATATTAGAAGAAAAACTTTGTACAAGAATAAAGTCATAAAATTATCAGAATAAAGTCAAAAATATGAGAAAAAAGTCATGAGAATAAAGATAAAGTGAAAATATTTCGAGATTAACGTCACAATATTTTGAGAAAAATGTATGAGTAGCCAAAATAATGTGAATAAAGTCATTACGAGTATAAGTAAAAAAATTACTAGAAAGTCAAAATATTACGAGGTCATACAAGAATAACGTCAAATTAATAATAAAGTCAAATTATTACGAGCCAAATGTCGTACTACAAATTCATAGCATTATGAGAAAATCATATTACGAGAACTACACAAAAAGAAAATTATACTTATCACAGCTTTAAAATGAGTAATGTTGAGCATGTTGTG